CTGAAGATTCCTCTGTCATTTTGCACCGATATAGTTTCTTGGAAATCTCATATCCTTCCACACATGATTATTCATCATACAATCTTTAAAATGAAAAATCATGTTAGTATCTATACTTTCATGTTACTTTTGTAATTTGGGTGACATAGTTTCAAGCATCATACATGTTGCAATACTATCGTCATCACCGTGTTTATTATAGCAGCCATATCTTCTTTAATCGAGTCGTCGCAGGTGTCTCCGAAATGGGTTACTCAAGCACATTACCAATTTTCTGGCTTAAAAACAATTCTTAGATTACAGTGTCAATCAAGAAAATTTGGTCTTATTGTTGGCGTCCAATATGTCTTCCAAATACGTGTGGTTATTCATGATTCAACAAATGTAAATGAAAGTAAAATAATAATATGTATGATGCATCAATTAATTTAACAAGATCTTCTTATTAAATTAATTATGCTACCACTGTTTAACTCAAATTTATGAACCTCTTGTATATATTTATGAAATTCACACTTGATTCTCATTGGATTGGGATCTCATTTGTTATATTAAGATCTTGAGTGTACTCAACAAGTCTTAATAAAACATTTAGGTAGATACTATTATCAATTGTGTTTCCATATAACTCTTAAATTATTAAGCTGACAATTATTTATCTTCATACATTTTATATGTTTCAAGTTTCTAGCAACTAAAACTGTCTAAACTAATTTAGACAAATCAAATTAATCAATTAATCTAATTAGCGAGTTTATTTAATTAAAATCAAATTTTAATTAAATACCGAATTAAAGTCCAACTCTAATTCGACAATTATAAGTCGAATTTATTTAACAAAAAATAAAATTTTAATTAAGTACGAGTCTAGAATCCAACTCTAATTTCAATTATTAAGCGAACTTATCTAATTAAATCAAATTTTAATTAAATATCAAATTAGAGTCCAACTCTAGTTTCAAGAACATTTTTAAGGCGAGACAATTAAATTAAAATCAAATTCTAATTAAATGTCAAATTAGAATCCAACTCTAATTTCAAGAATATATATTAGGTTAGATAATTTAATTGAAATCAAAATTTGATTAAACTCTAAATTAGACTCATATTCTAATTTAAGTTGAATTAACATTTTAACTTGAGATAAAACTCCCAAATAGGGATGACAATCGGGCTCGTTGGCTCTGACCGCCTGTGGCTAGGCCCGAAAAAAGTCCGAGCCTACTCGACTCGAGGCTCGGGCCGAGCCCCAATTTAAGGTGGCGGGTTAAGCTTGAGCCGACCCGTATAGCTCGTTGGCTCTAGCTCGGGCCTATATATAAATTTAAAAAAAATTGAAATCAAAATCTAATGCAGCTAGCTGCTTTAAAAATGGCAGCCTACTGCACTTAAATAAAGGCAGCGACTGCTGCCTTATTAACTTAGGCGGCTGGCTACCTTTCTGCTGCCTTAGAGGGAAAAAAAAACGAAGCTGCCCGGTTCAGCCTGGCTCGATAAGGTCCAAGCCGAAAGCTGAGACCGAACTTAAATTTCTTGGCCTAGCCAAAACTCGGCTCGACACGTAAAAAAGCTCAAATCATTTTACCCGAACTGTGCATCGAGTTTCGACTCACGAGCCAGCTCGACTCAGTTCGCTGACATTCCTACTCCCAATTAAAATAAAATTCAATTTAGAATCAAAATTTAATATTTAAGTTAAAATCAATTTTTAACAACAATATAAAAGTTGTCAATTTTAAACAAAATTTAAATTTGGGTCAAAACTAAAAATTGGGTCAACCCCTTTTGAAAATTCAAAATTTGAAATTCTTTTATAATTAAATTCAACCCATTTTGAAATTGCATTTTGACCCCCAATCAAAACAATTCCTTTAATTTTGAAAATTGCAAGACAAATCCTCTATCATAATTGCAGATGGGGCCTATAATTTTTCAAAATTGCATCAGAAGCCCCATTCCCCGTCAAACCCATTTCGAAAACCTAAATCCCTTTTTTTGTACAACGCAAATGCTCCTCCTACGATGGGATCCGTGCATGTAGCAGGCCGAAAACGCTACTTACAATAGCGTCTTCGCGCTGTCGAAATGACGACACTGTCGCTGCAATTGAACTACAATGTAGAGTTGGCAGCACTTGTTGCCGTTACTAATCTAAGAACAGCGCACAACAACGAACATGGTAGTGCAATCAACGTTTGACTGTTCTAAGATGAAAAATAGTTTCTAGCAAACACAAAGTTGGCTCTAATACAATTGTTGAAATTTTACTTAATCTTGCAGGGCATAAAAATAAATTATTTTTCAATTCCCAACAAGTGTCTTCTTTGTACTTAGATAGAAATTATGTTTAGAATAATACCTTTAATAAATTCTACAAACTCATCTGCTTATCTTCAACAAAAATAATAACGATATGTATTCCACGACAGTCCAATTGTCCAGTTTTCAATAAAAATCCACACAGGGAACAAAAATGAAAGAATTAGTGTTACTCTTTTCTTATGCTAGCATGACAATGAATCGTGTTATGTTCATCTTTTATGAAACTCTAATAGCTTATTAATATAAATCCAAGTGAGCTTGGCCCATTTCTTAAACTTACCTAATCCAATATTTAATTAATTCAATTTGATCCATAAATTAATTAATCCAATTAATTAAGCTGGGCATGTTGATGAGCAACCCAATTAAATAATTATCCAACACTTGTTAATTTATTAATTGGTGAATCTTATTTTTCTAGTTCTCTTTTTGTGTGTGATCCCTTAGGTTTTCGATCACGATGTCTAACGACGTGAATTATTATTTTGATCTAATTAAATCGATAAATTGAATAAATTAAAATATCTCATTTTAATTTATTATCAATTCACATTCTTCGTCGCAGATTGACATCTAGCAATATGTTAGGGCAATATATGTAACGAAAAATGTCAAGTGATATGACAAAATCAAACTTGTTTGTTTATCGTGAACTATAATTCTTTCGTCAATATGATCCAATTAATTATTAGATATGGATATAGGTTAATCTCAATTATTGATCATATCTTTCATTCCAATATTAAGTCAATATATGTTGAAATCTACCTTTTGACTTATAGGTGCATCTTGGTCAAGAATTTTGTTATCAATTTAGCTGAATGAAATGTAAATCATAATCTCTTACTAGGTAAGAGTGACGAATCCTCTTTTGCATTCACAACCTTTATATGATTATTGACATATCCGAACGGTTCTGTATTAGCGATCATTAGCAGAACAACATTCAACATCGCCAAACTATGATTGCCCTCATATAAGATATTATGATGATCTCAAATCGAATGGCCAATAGTGAATGTTAGAAATTAACAATTGACACTTAGATAATCATCCATGTAGAATCTCGCGAGTGGGCTCCAATGTTATGTTCTATAACAAAATATCCACATGTTTATTTAAGGGTTATAACATTTTAGTTTGTAAGATCAGCTATTTACTTCGCAAATAAGAAATCCCAAAGCTGATGGTATATCCATGATAATGATATCTGTATTTCGTTATTACTTGCGACCATAGATAATTTAAGAGTCAATCATATATAATTTGTATCCCACAATCACAAATCCTAGTGATTAATAAATTATAAAGAATTGAATCTACGAATTTTATTATTTAATTTATTAATATAATAAATTAAATAATAGATTTTCCATAAATGAATACGTCAAATATATATTAAAAATATTTATATCCTATGTTGATTCGACCTATGACATAACACTTACATGTGATCCCAATTTATATCATATGTATATGTTTGTAAAAAATTGATGCATTTCAAGTTCGTTTGGTTCACATTACAGGAATTTTGTCCAAAGTCAAAGTAGATCAAGATTAACCTTGTTAATTGGTGATGGCTGATGCCTAGCTGGTATCTATATTCGACGCACGTTACATTTAAGGTTCACTAGAGTGGTTCGGGACGGATCGCGTCGAGAATAGTGTTGGGTATTATTATATTGACCTTTGTCGGATGACCTCCCACAACTAGTATACAGCAATCATATGCCATGAAGGTACTTTACTCGATACCATCCTTCTCAATCTCCTTTGTGATATGGCCATTGACCATTATAACAAGAACTACGTTAGAGGCTCTCTTTCCAGCCGGGGAAAATACTGATGACACTGCTTCTTTAACATTCTCTAAGTTCTCTCTTTCTCCTTCACACACACATTACTGTTGGACGTGAATAAGGAATTTCAAATTGAGTAATCCTGATGGGGTAAACGTCTACTTTCATTTGACTTCAAATACATAGTGGAGTTGTAATGAATAATCTCCCAGTTTTGACAACACTGTTAGCAGTTGTATATGCAAAGGACTAGCCATGGGGATATTAAGAATCAGTGCGAACTTTTGGTGTTGTGTCATATGGTAAGGATTCTGGCATACTCACGCACGACATATCCCAGCAGACTTGCATATTAGCATTTCTTCAGTCCATTCACTTTGGGGTTGTTTTGTTTTGTTCAACTCGTTCTTCATTGGAATTAACTCACCTCTTCCGCCAAAATAAACATGTTAGTTAATGCTATCTGATGTGGGAAGTAATAATCAAAGAGATATTGCCTAATAACCAAAATGGGACAGCAAATTCGGACTCAATTTGAGAGGAGAAGTTATAAAAACGGTGAAAGGATGTATGTGTAAGTAGAATATTATTGTAGAGGTTATATAAAATGCACAGTTTATTAGAATAAAAAATAAAGATAAACATCTTGTAACATATTTTTTCTCAATAAATTCGAGCGGGTTTAAGAAATTTTTGAGTATCTCTTCTTATATGTTACGTGCAATATTTGTATGCATTTTTTCTTATATTTTACTTGCTATATTTCTGTATGCGACTATTATACACGTATTAGTTCAAAATCAAAATAAAGTTCACTAATATTGTTCATCAAACTCAATTTGAGAACTTCAATTAAAAAAAATGAGCCAACATAAAAACTTATTAAAGAATAATGCATAATCTAAACTGGCTTCTCAAACATTAAAATTTCTATATTCCAAATTTTTCAGAATACAATTTTGACATCAATCAGAAGAATACAATAGAAAATACATCTAGAACAAATGCATATTCTGCCTCAAGGTCAGCAAGATTCAATTCTACAGCTACTCGGCTTCAAGAAATTAAAGCAGCCAACTCTTTCATTCTTTATTGAGACCGTTCATTCCCTTAAAACTGTCACTCAAACACATTTCCTTTAGCAGCTCAAATAACTTCTACCAGCAACTCGCTCAAACCTTGGAGTGAAAATTATGCAGTCCCTGGAACTGCATAGAAAGGGTAACATAGCTTGAAACTGTTTCAGCAAGAAAGAAGAGTGGTCAAGAGGAACTTGCACACAAGCATATGCAGATAAAGAACAGTATTGAGCAATACAATTGAGATCCAAGGAGTAAGCTCTCAAATTATTTTTCGAAAACCAATTCCAGTTGTTTTGCACGTCTCTAGTTCATGTGAAGTCTTAGAAACACACATCTTGATTGGAAATGGTTAGCAGAAGATTGACACCTAACCTGGCAGGATTTTTAGAATTTAACATTGGATTCTTTGACAACATAAAATTATCTTCTGAGGAAACATATAACTAGAATAAAGTTGAGTAGAAGTATCCAGCACATAGGAGCTAAGAACAGGGATTATAATGGAACAATTTTTGGTCTAAATTAAGGCATTATAGTATCATTCTGCACGACCCTAGGAACTTTGAATTTGGGATTTTGCTCCAGGAAAGCAGGTGGCTTCTGATACACAATTGATGCTGCCCTAATCAAAACTCCGGCAGTTAAACCCCATATCAGGTACTTTTTATCACTCATTTCATAGTCAAAAAAATGGATCAAATACTTGTCGCCCATCCACTCTCTTTCTTCTGATCTTCGATTTTCATCCTGGAAAAAGGTGTTCAGTATGTATATTGAGAATATTGCAGATGTAGGTGAAATACTCAAATAAAGGAAAACTAATTTTGAAATGTAAGGATATTACCTTGAGAAACATTTCCAAGGGAGCGTCAAACACATCTTCAACCTCAGCAGCATTTGGACAGGGCTTGAAGTCCTTCTTGTTGGACAGTATGCCAATAACAGGAATTACTCTAAGGAGATGCTGCAAAAATTATTTAGATTTAATTGTCAGTCCATATAAACCTCATGCCATAAAGCATATTGACATCCAACACCATTTTCTCAAATGTAATCTTCGTCATGCATGTCATCTGCAATTACAAATACATAATAACTCAACTGTTCGTCTCTTTTTTCTTTTTATTTTTTAATTTTTATTTTTTTGGGTGGGTTGGGGGGCAGGGGGGTTGGCAATTTTTTGAGACAGCCATCATATTCTCGAGGCAATGTATGCCTATTTTCACTCATATTCACCAACTTATTCATCCAATAATAATTACTTATCTGAAAAGAGAACAAACCAAAAAGGAGGGAAAAAGGTTTGGTCCTCGTATTTTAGTATTAACTTCATTGCATCTCTTACTTTGTTATATATAAAAATTAAACTATACTTCGGGCTTGGCAAAATCTTGAAAAGCCATGGATAGTTTCTTGAAGAGGCCAATGCACGGGAGCCTCAGTTGTAAGAAACAATTAGATTTTATCAATAGGCATAAAAGGGGCTAAATTTCTCACCGAATTTCTAACCTAGAAGAGACTTTTACTTAAGCATCTTCAAAGAAATTTTGTTCCCAAACAACATCATTACTCAGACTTCAAGTTTTCTCAACAGGTGAAAGATCAAGGTTATATGTAAAGGAAGATTAATATTGACACCGAACTTTGAACCAATTCTGTGAAGTGTCCGGAAAGAATCTGCAGTCAATCTATATGCTTTGGAAAGCTCTCTCTGTCTAGTTTCCAATGCATCAAACTATGCAATTTTTGGAAACTTGTAGAGAAAGTTATGACAGTTTGAAGAGGGTGCTCAGAATAGGCAGAAGCTACCCGAATTCCAAACTTTGACTCCATTAAATATTCTGGTTTTCCCACATAGTCAGCTTATGTTTTCACGTATTTAAGTATTAAAATTTTAAATTTTTAATCAAGGTTTTTAATTTCTGCATTTAGCCATACTTGTGGAGGGTTGCTCCAAGATTTCACTAATTATTGCTAATGGACAAGATGAACTAGAGTTTAAAGGATAGCTTCTTCTTAAAACTCTTATCCCTCGGTTGATTCCAACATGTGGTGAGTTTTCTTGTTCTGTATCTCTTATGAGTGTAGGGTGGTGAATTTCTGTATTCCTTGAGTGTTCTTGCTAGAGTGGCGAGCACTATTATTCTCAAATTCAAGTTGGCTTCCTTTGGGTGGTGTTAATGGATATCATTGGTCTCAACTTGAGGTTGTGGACTACTTCTTTTATTAGGTTTCTTGTTATATTTTAAATAAATAAATAAAATAAAATAAAAAAAGATTTTCCGGTATCTAATATACCTTTGACAAAAACGGTTCAAGGCAAGTGACAACATTTACAAGTGAAGGATTCAGCCCGATTTCTTCCTTTGCTTCCCTTGTTGCTGTCTCAGCATCATTGGCGTCTGTCTCCTCTGCCTTACCTCCAGGCAATGAGACTTCACCTGCATTAAGAATACTTTTTAGGTGAAATGCACAGAAACCCTGAATGAATAATTTAACATGGATAAAGCAAAACCAATACAAGTCGAGATGGTAAACAGATATGATTGCTTATATACCCACACCTTAAATCAGTCCCCAAAAAAAAAAAAAAAACTATATAAAACAATACCCCATCATTATTGAACATGATATATCAATATTTGAGAGCTAAGAAATCCAAGACTTGGAACAAAAAAGTTTGACAGATAAAACTCTATCAGCACTCTTGAACTGATAACAATATTTCGGCTAGCATTGCTTCCTCCATCCCTCTATACCCTCCTAATCCTATCATATTTCGAAACTGGCAGCACTGACCCAAATGCCAATACAATCATGGTGTAGATTCTAGAATTCTGTATTTTCTCTTTATTTATGTAAAATGTGATAATGATATTCGGTAACAAGAAAAGTGGGGAAAAAGAAAAACACCAACCTTTTACTGCATTGATCAGAACCCTTGAAGTTAATTGGATACACACACTATTAATAGTCAAGATCACCAAAACCCACAAACAAATTCTTCAAATTACTCAATTTACAGAAACGAGATAATTCTCACAACCAATCAAAATACACAAATTATAAAAATAATAACCACATAAAATTAGACAGATCACTACAAAATATTTAGAAAACAAGATCGATATCAAATAAATCGAACCAGAATGAGTGGAAAGTTTCGACGATCTCTTAGTGAGAATAACTCTCAACTCTCCAGAATCCCCTTCAAAAAGACAGATGAGAACTGCAGCTCTCTTAGGTCTGAACCTCTCAGGAGGCTGTTGAGCAACTGAGGTCACAGATTCAGCAAAACCCAACTGGGAAACCAATTTCCCAGCACTCTCCTCCAGTTTTTGTTCCTCATCATCATCATCATCATCAAATGGTGATGGAGGTGGCCTGTATTGGCGCAGATGTTGGGCTAAAGCCATGAGCTTTTGTGAAGCCCCAAAATTGTTGGGCACAGAAGAATTCATGAAGGTGAATCTTGAGAGAGAATTGACAATTCGAGATGACAATAGGGTTGATGAAAAGGCTAGAGAGGATATTAAAGTTCTTCGAATTAGTGGGAGCATAGGTACTAAATTATGTTAAATCTACCTGTAATTGGTATCTTAATTACTGGATAATTGTTGGAATCTAGGAGTGCGGCCATTGAATTCTTGAACACTGGTGTAGCCGTGTGCTCTCCATAAAAAGGGAAAAGAAAAGAGAAAAATGGAAGAAAATAAATGAGTTATTTTAAATTTTAATAATTAAAATATAATAATCTTATTACGAGGAAATACATGAAAATAACCTTTGGACTGTAGCAAATTTTAATATTGGCCTTTGACCCATTAAATAAATAAAAAAAAGAAGTTAAAATATAAGTTTACACTAAAAGGGCGATTTTACCTTTCACTAGACACCAACTGTTAGAAAAAATTCAAACCGACCGACCAAACTTTGAAGAAAACCCACGCCAACTGCCTGAAGAACGCCCGATCAACCACCGGCCGAAAACACCAACGTTCAATCCGTACCAGCACGCTACTATTCAGGTTAGTTTTGGCGCTCGAAGTTTATTTCAGTTTTTAGATTCATTATTTTTACGTTTATTCGGTTTAAATTCATCATTATGTAAAGTTGCTAGATTGTGGGTGTGAATGGGGTGAAAAATGTGAATTTTTTGTAATTTTTGGACCTCTCCATCGTCAACAATGGCGGATAGCCTGCGGGAAGACGGCAACTATTAATAGTCGGGTCTATCTGATTGTTAACAGTCGTGGGCCGACGATTAACTGTCTAACCGTCGGCCCAATCCAATTTAACAGTCATGAGCCGACTGTTAAACAGTCATGGTCCGACTATTAATAGTCGGTCCAGTGACTGTTTAATTTTTTTTTTCAATTTTTATAATTAATTTATTTTTTTATTTGATCAAATAATTATGTTATTTATTTATTTATTTAATTTTTATAATTGTCTTTTATTTTATTTATATAATTTAATTATTTAATTTTTATAATTGTCTTTTATTTATATAATTTAATAATTGAATATTATCTAAAATTAACAATTTATTTTGTTCCTTTTATTTTTGTTTTTATGAAATAATTTTTGATTTTTTTTTTCAAATTTATTTAGATAATATATTTGGTTTTTAAAGTTTTTAAATTTTTTAAAAATGTATTTAATTTGAAATTTTTTGTTCATAAATATATTTTCCAAATGATTACAAGATTAATTTGATTAAATAATAATTATGTTAATTTTTTTATAATTCCCTTTTTTATATAATTTAATAATTGAATAGATAATGTTGTCCGAAATTAACAATTTATTTTGTTCCTTTTAACTTTCTTTAATGAAATAATCTTTGATTTTGTTCTAATTTATTTAAATAATATTGATATTCTTTATTTTTTTTAAAATGTATTTAATTTGAAATTTTTTTTGTAAATATATTTTCCAAATGTAATATACAAGATAAACTAAATTATTTTAATTTTTAAATTTGCATTGAATTTATTTTATTATTAGCGTCAATGTCTTGCGTATTATATGATAGTTATAATTCGGTTGCCTTGATTTTTTGAGATTATGCCTTACTTTATTATCTATTGTTCAATGTTCTAACATTTGAATTTTTGCAGGATGGAGTATCATTTAGATGGGGAGTTGAGACAGATGGCAGGGAAAGCTACTTGAAACAGTAGCTTTGAGAGTTTTACTGCGGTGTTGGAGCTGCTTGATGATCATCACGGAGATATGTTACGACAGTCCTTCTTGTGGCCACTGTACCAGATGCGAGAGGTGTAGTACTCAGGACAGATCATCGATACACTTCTATGTCGGCTTTTGAGGCCAATCGATGGCGATTTCCTCCACTTCGACCTCGGGGGCAAGGTCGTTAGTTTCTCGATTTATGAGTTTAGCTTGATCACTAGACTGAGGATTACGGACGACGATGTAGCCATCGAGAGAAGCAATAGGATGTATGAGACGTACTTTCAGGGACATGGGTTAGTGCATCTACCCGAGTTGATGGTCGCGATTAGGGGGTGTGACCAGATGCTAGATAGATTGAAGCTTGGGCTGGTCTACATCCTCGAGAGTGTGATGAGGTGTCATAACAAGAAGACTGCCATCGACATTTTTCATTTGGAAGTTGTTGACGACATTGATGCGTTCAACAACTATCCATGGGGCCAGAGATGCTACGAAGACACCGTACATGTCTTCACCAGATTACACTCGAGGTCTAGGGGGTCAATGCGTAAATACGATACATACAGGTTGCCATTAGCGGTGCAGGTAAATGTTTAATATAATTAAAGTTAAAGTTTTAGTATATTACATTTATGCATAATAAATGTATGTGTTGCAGATTTGGGTGTATGAGATAGTCCCTACACTGGAAGCCCGCTTCGCGAGGTGAGAGGAGACACGATGCCCTCGGATGCATCGTTGGAGATCGCCGCGAGTGGAGGGATGTCCCACTGAGAAACAGTTATCGGCCCTCCTCGACAATCCTCATGTAAGTATTATGCATTTGTAATTTATATTATATGTAGTTTAAATCTGTTTACATGATCGTTAACTAGTTCAAATGTCAATATGTCAGTTTGAAGTCATACCTGAGTTGACGCCGTCGATGGAGGAGGAGGCTCGGGGCCTTGTGCGGATGTAGGTGTTCCGCAAACCGAAGACGAGCAGAGGTCTGATCCGACTGTGAATCGAGATTGGGTATGTGAATTAAATATAATTTATTGAATATCGTCGACGTATAAATTTATTTAATAATTTTTAATGTTATTTATATAAGAGGGCGGTCCAGCTGATCGACGATCACCTCCGCCGAGGGCATCGTCGCCACCATTGGCATCGCCTCCACCGAGGGCATCGTCGCCACCATTGGCATTACCACCGCCGAGGGTATCTCCTTCTCCCTCGTCCAGACACATCCCTCGTGTATTGTCGACACACACTAATGATTTGTATACCCGTCTGACTGGATTTATAACGGAGGAGGTCGGCGCGCTACGACGAGAGTTGACCGAGAGGGTCGACGATCTGACGAGGAAGGTCGACTATCTGATAGGGAGGGTCGATGATATGGGACGAGAGTTGACAGAGAGGGTTGACGATTTATCCCACGATGTTAGAATGCTACGGTCTTGCGTCATCAACCTTCAAGATGCGGTACTTAGAGAAGATTTAGCCGCTAGGTAATGGGGGGACAGAGGGGATGGTGGAGATGATCGAGAGGGTGGTAGAGATGGTGATGGAGAGGGGGGTCATCCACATTTTTGGCATGACGAGGTATTAGAGTCATTTTGGTTGTTTATGGAGGGGGATAGGGTGGCCCCGATGGGGGGGCAATGGGGAGGAGGCACCGATAGGAAAGACGGAGGAGGTGGCGACAGAGGGGGAGGCCCCGATGGGAGGGGCGGAGGAGGTGGCGACAGAGGGAGAGGGCCCGATGGGGGGCAGAGGAGGTGGCGACGGAGGAGGGGGCCCCGGAGGGCGAGAGGACGCCCATCGTGATTGAGGGTAAAAGACATGTTGTTGATAAGATGGAGCAGGTGGTCGGCAAGAGGTTGAGAGTATCGTCACGGTATGTTGTTTCCTCCTTCACGGCTGAGGCCAAGAGGAGGACGTTCATCGATGGGACGTACCCGAACTTATTCAGAGAGGTGGACAATGCCAAATAGAAAGTATTCGAGATGGAGTGGAGGAGAATTATCCCCGAATAAGTATTGTATGATTTTAATAAAGCACTGTACGCTAACTCGTCTATGCATATTTTAACATTTCTCTATTTTTTCAGAGCTACCCGCACGATAGGTAACTGGACGGTCTCGGACGCTTACAAGTGGTTCCACGATATCACGAATTCGGGAGCTTGGCTCACCGACGATGTAAGTGAACTATTCATTTCGTGTTTTGTATGTATACGTCACTTCGTGTTTATTAAATGAATAACAAATAATTTTTTGGTATTTCTTGATGCAGCACATCGACGTGGCCATGGATTGGCTGCAAGATCGAGCTCAGAGACATCCAAAATCATTTGACGTCCATGGTCGAGTCATATTAAACACCAAGTTCCTGCGTGCCGTTACCATAGAGTATCAGTCGCTCCAACTTATGGGTAACGAGTACACGGTGCCAGAATATATGCTCGAGTGGGTCATCGGATTGTCGCCGAGTGTCGGAAAAGAATCATGGGAGGGTTGTACACATATGTACATTCCAGCGTGCATCAATAGGTACTATGTTACGCTAAAAATCGTTTTTGCTGACACGACTATATATGTGTACGACCCAGATCATTCATGTTTGACGCAAGGCCAGTTGGAGCAAAACTTGGAGTCCGTAGCTGTAATTGTTCCTATGATGGCCAAACAAGCGGGGATGACTGTACAAGACAGATTACAGATTGTTCGGAATACGACGACATCACGACAGTCCGTAAGGTAAGTGTTTGAACTTTGTTGTTTTCATCTTTCAGATTTAGTTTTTTAGCTACACAGTACTGAACTGATCCATTCTTATTTAATTGTAGCGACGACTACGGCATATTTGCCATTAAATACGTTGAATTTTTAAGTATAAGACATAAGGTTGATGGAATCAACCAATCGTGGATACAGAACTGGAGAAAGAAGTTAGCATGTGATTTGTTCGAATTTAATGGTGATCCGTAAATTTGTATTAAATATATGTAACATTCGAATTGTAAATTTAATTATTTTTTGTGATTATGAAATAATTGTAAATTTGTGTTCGGTGTATATAACATTCACATTGTAAATGTAATTATTTTTCTTATTATGAAATATTTGTAAATTTGTGTTCAATGTATATAATTATTTTTCTGTAAGTTGATTTTTTGTTATTTTACACATATACTAAGAATGAAACTAATTTTTCCATATGAATAATTGTAAATGCCGTTTATCAAGAATAAATATAGAATATTGAACATTTATGAAGAACAAGTATTGAATGTACCTATCTAATTGTCATTTAGGAAAATTTGACTGGTACAAAATTGTCGAGTATGCCCTATGGCTCTGCATTTGCCACACCTACGCGGTCGAGGAAACTCTCTGGTAGATGGCATTCTAGATGTACTTGGACGTTCAGGACCACGCGGTTCAACTGCTGGTGGCAACAAATCATTAAACGGGAGAATGTGCTATGGAACTTCCCACTCTGTTTCATTCGGCAGAGGAAATATAGTCTCCGCATATGCTGCTCTCCAAGACTCTGTCGTATAATACAAAGAGCATAATGTTCTCGCTGCAAAACCTCGATACATGGCCACCGCAACTGCATGCTCACATGGAAAACTCTCCAACTGAAATCTCGTACAAGTGCATGTGTTATCAGTCAAGTCCACTATATTTGCCGTATTACGTGTACATTGCACGGAGAAGCGGAACTCATCAGGTGCTTTCACATTCAATTTCCTCGCAACCTCTGTCGCCTTAAAGAGTTTCTCCTCTTGAGCTGGGCTCAGCACACTATTGCAACTCTGTGATGCCGCACGTTGGTCATGAAACCACTGTTGCAGCTTGTTACGAATATTCTCAATCATTGCGAGAATTGGTAACTCTCGATCCTTCTTAAACAATGTATTGAGAGACTCCGTGTTATTCGACGTCATCATGTTGTATCGACGTCCTGGAAAGTATGACCGTGCCCAATGTTCGATCCCCATGTTCGTCAGATACTCCAACGTCGGTAATGATTTACTTCCTATCTCAAACATGAACTTATTACACTCTTCAGCACTGTAAGCTTCGGCTGCTCTTCTAAACAATGAAACGATGCCTTTGCTCCGATACCTAGTTTTCAAATTACCTTGTATATGGTACATGCAATACCCGTGATGTGCCTATAGAAAAACTTCAGCGATACCGTTTATTATAGACTGTCCCCGATCGGTTACACAGGCAAGGTCTTCGACTTCCCTGATCACTTCCCTCAGTTTCGAAAAGAACCAACACATGGACAGATAATTCTCGCTGTTGACTATGCCGAATGCAATAGGATAAATTTGGATGTTGGCGTCTGGACATGTAGCAATAATTAATTTGCTTTGATATTTAACTTTCAGAGTTGTACCATCAACTAGAATTACAGGTCGCATTGTATTTTGAAAACCCCGAATACATTGTCCGAGAGCCATGAAAAAATACTTAAAACAATTATCGCTCCCCGTCTCAATAAAAAATGTCGTGCCAGGATTAGTTCTCTCCATGTTATGGCAATACCTGGCCAATTTAGTATATCTCTTCTCAGCCGATCCCATTAAATCCTCCAACGCACATTCTTTGGCCTTCCAAGTTTTCTGGTAGCTCATGACCAGTCCATACTCTTGACGGATGTCGTTAATGATGTCCGAAGGTCTGTAGATCGTCCGTGGGTCCTGATACTTGTTCATTATTTGTCGACCAATAAACCATGCTCGAGCTTACTTGTGATCGTTTCGAAGAATTCCCACTTCGCAAGTATGTTCCCATGAATACTTGCAAATTACGAAGCACACATTCGTGTCCATTTTAGTTGCTCTCAAGCGCCAATTGCAACTACCTTCGACGCAGACAACTGTCAACAATGACTTGTTTGATTTCTTTACCTTGAACTCAAAGTTATATTTTAATGCCAGTCGGTGCACAGCTTCCTGCAAATCTTTCTTGGTTTCAAACAGTTGCTCGACATACAAGTCCTCATAATCGGGAGCCACACGGGAAGAATTTGAGGACAATCCACTTGTTCCAACCTGTGAGCTCCCACTCGGCTTATGTCTCTGTCGGGATAAAGCAATCAAATTTTCATTTGTAAACTCGTTTATATTCTCATTATCTTCAACCGTCGATGGAATTCTGCGCGTAACAGCGACATCACGATTAGAAGCAACTGTTTCAGGAATAACCACTTCATCCATAGGAACTATCTCCACTGTCTCCCAAAAACCTCGATCATTGTTATCCGCCCTATCTGAATCTTCGCGTTCACCTTCGATAACATCCTTCGTAATTAAAGTCACACCAAGAACAGTCGGAGTCCGATACATTTTATTCAATTCTAATAGATAATTCAATTCAACATCATTAGTAACAAATACCGGTGATATCGGAATGGATGAATCCCCATAACCGTTGAATAAATATCTCAATTGCATATCGTATTGAGATTGATCGACATTTAGCTTATTTTGCAAATCGTGGTACATTTCTAAGTATGGTGTACTCTCTGTTATAGAAATTGCAATACAACCACGTATGTCACTCATCCATCTCCATTCCCACCGATGATTTTCATTCAATTCGAAATTACTAAAATAACGACGGGGATTATCATTTCTGCATGAGGAAATGAATTTAATCAACTTCATTTATTAATTATAAGAAAAAATAATGCATTGCCAACAAAAATCAGTGCCAACAGACAGCCGACTGTTGGCTTTTAAACAGTCAAACTGTTGGCTGTTAAACAGCTGACTGTCACGTGACTATTTGGCTGTTTAACAGCCCACAGTCAAGTGGTTGTTTGGCTGTTTAACAGCCAAATAGTCGACTGCTTTTCTATTTTCCGCATTACGTAGAAGAAAAAAATTATAGATTTGTTCAAATTTTTTTTCATACGTTCAATTTGCTAAAAAAATCAATACTCTATTTCGAAATAAATTTTCTCTATTCAAACGTATACTAATTTTCTTAAAAAGAAATCAAACATGCGTAAATATACTTACCGATTTGAATAAATTGATATGAAAAAAATTTCGGCTTCAGCGTTTGAACGTTTTTTGAAATGTTGAGGTTCAAGCAGATAAAAGATGAGAGTTTTTTTCTGTCTTGAAAGCTCATTTTGAAGTGTTTTATAAGTGGGGTAGTGTTTGGTTTTCAATTATTAACTAAAAGGATAGTAAAGACTTTTCAACAATACATTGTTTTGTAATTGTATAATACATTTAAGGACATCTTTGTCGTTTAACATTCAAGAGGCCATTGTGATAATATTCATGATTTTCAAAATCAAAGTGGAATTTCTTCTATTTGACTGGGTCAAACTTAAAAGTACCCCTCTTATTACTCATAAATCTTTTTTACTTTTTGATGGATTTATTCTTGAATTTGAGTGTGATGAAATAAGGCCTGTTTGATTTGGCAACAATTCCGTGGAAAATGAAATTTTTTTTTTCTATTTTTCACTTTTTGATGGTGTTTGATAGCAAATAATTTCCATGGAATTCATTCTCTTGGTTTTCTTGAAAAATAGAGTTTTCTTGGTTTTTAAGGAGGTAGGCTGCCATTTTTTTTTCATTTTTTATTTTTTTGTTGGCAATAGAAACAAATTCTAAAAATTATTGTAAGAAAATATTTCCCTTTAATTGACAATTTTCATGTAAAATAAAGTCAAACAAACATCAAAAAATAGATAATTTTTTGGCAATGGAGACAAATTTCATCCCCAATACCAATGAAATCTATCACTTTGATTGACAATTTTCATGTAAAATAAAGCCAAAAAATACAAAAAAATACTTTTATTTCAACATTTTTCACGTGAAAAATTATATCAATTAAATACAATAATTTACAATCTCCAGGAAAACAATTTCTAAACAATTCAATTCTCTGAAATTCGTTTTCTTTCCACTCAAATTCTATTTTTGCAATCAAACAGACCCTAAGTTTCATCTTCCCCTTTGATTCATAAATTATTAAATAATTGTTATAAAAAATAATAATAAAATGTATATGTACTATGATTATATTAAAAATAAAAATAAAACTTTCCATCTAAATTCAAAAAACCTTGAAAATGTCGCAAAGAATCGCGTTTCCCTCCTCCTTTGACTATTAAATTTCTTAATATTAAACGAAGTTATTTTTTATATGTATATAAAGAATAATGTTGTTGTACACTCTTTTTTTACGGTCCACTCACAATCGTGGACCCATCTCTTGCATGTGAAATAACTGTCAATCATGATATCAAAATTATTGTACTTGTAGTATAATTCATACATAAAATTCATTCTCTCATAAAATTATATCAACCTGCAATGTGTATCGGGAGATAGGGTGGCAACATGATGGAGGGAATTGAGACACCTATTACCATTCCAGCTCCATAGGAATTTTTGAGAGCGGGACAAAGATTAAAAAATCATCATTTATGGTCTCATTTAATTAATTATTTATTTTAAAAATAAAAATATAATATAAAATAAAAATGTTATAAACCATAAATATTCAAAACGTTTACGAGGAATTCAAGACGAAGACTTTATTTACTGGTACTGGACAATATGGAGCCTGTGGGAGTGAAAAAATTTTACCCCCTTTCTGAAGAATGTAGGCTGGGGATGGCCCATTATGTGAAATATGAGTCATTTTGGTATGGGAAAATCACATCCATCCCTATTCTCTATCTTTCATTTCAAAAATTAGAATTTAAACCTCCGTTTGTTTCCCATTATTTACCCATTAAAATGAAAAATATTATCGTTATCAATCATATCAAATTACCATATTTGACTTTCTATCTCTGATGTGGAATCCGTAACAACTATATTTTTCATTCTCATTTTTATATTAATATGTACCAAATGGAGCCTAAATTTATCTTTCCAAAAATCGGATTATGCTACACACTACAAACCTCTATTTCTCAATCCACACCCATTATTGTTGCCCACTGTCTCCACTATCACCATCGCTTGTCATTGTCTACTGCGGCTCATTGTCCCACTGCCCATCATCGTCTTCAGCCGCCCACACCAATGCTTATACTTCTACTTTTCAACTGCTTGAATGCCTAGTAATGTAAGGATTCCGGAGTTGTCGAATTTTTTGTAGATTGGGTCACTATACCCAACCCATCCTTCCATAAATATCTTCTTCCACTTCTCGATCTTCCTTCATAGAAATCCATCTTTTTCCCAAATTGAATTTGCAGCGAATGTTGTAGCTACAAAGGTACTTAATGGTTGTAGATTTCACAAGTGGGGATAGGGTGTGATGGATGTTATGGTGCATTGGCTATGGTTGTGTGGGTGAATGTACAGGTCTGCATGATGGTAGTTTGGTGGTGGTAGTGCACAGGAATGGCCAAAATCCTAGTCAATCCCAATACTCGCAGGCCCCACCTTGAACGTGGAGGGATTGCCCACTTAATTAGGTATTCGGGTTGGGGACAGAGCGGAGGACTTACCTGCCCCATTTATTATTATTATTATTATTATTATTATTATTATTATTATTATTATTATTATTATTATTATTATTCAATACTTTAAATGAAAAATTCCACAAATTTTCATTTGTTCTAATAAAAATTGGCAACTAATTTTATTTAAAGAATATGATAAACAATAAAAGCCTTAGCTTACCAAATATATATTTAAATAATTAACTTTTAAAGTTAAATAAATCAATTAAAAAGTTAATAAATATATTATTGTCTCACTTTAATAAATGGGAGCAATAAAATGAATTATAAAAAACTAAAAAAAAAATTAAATAAATCAAGTAAGGGCCTAGACCCGACCCGACCCGCATTGCCTTGTCTTGAACAGTAATGGAGCGGGTACGAGTTGAGAATTACCCGGGGCCAGAGGAGATAGCCTCGACCTCGACCTCGACTCTCTCTGTTGCCATCTCTAGTAGTGCAATGAACGTACATATGTATGTGGTATTACTGTGGTATACATATCTACGTGGTGGTGGTGAGGTGCAATAGCATTTGGGTAGTGGTAGTGGTCATGGTCGTGGTGTGGGGATGGGGTAGGATGGAGAACAATTTTAAGTTTGAGAAAAAATAAGTTTGTAAAAAATGGGTCTCAAACATGGGTTAATGTTATTGTGACCTTGGCGTGTTTAATTAATTAATAAATCACGAAATTTTATCAAATTGTGACAAATGCTATCATCTGATTTTTGAAAGAATTTTACAAGTTTCTTAAATTTTAAAGTACATATTAAAACTAGGATAATTATGTATTTTTTCCGTAAAACATATTAGTTGAGGGCAGAACAAAATGACAGTGATGGGTCACTTGTTTTCTGGATTTGTCATTTTTGGTTGGTTTACTATTGTACACTGTACATTACACCAGCTAACAACACCCAACCCTTAAATGAATGTAGACAGTATAATATACTGTGTATGTATATATATAACACTATTTGTACATAGGGAGTTGCAAAACATTTTATAAAATTGAGAGGTGCCAAAAAAAAGTGAAATTTTTTTTATTTGGCTGAAGAGATTTTTGATCTTATCATATCTTACAATATCATATATTTATAAACTAATCATTGTGCAAAAAGTTTCCACCTTTTTTTTTTTTTTTTTTACATTTTCACCTCTATTTATACCTTTTATTACGAAAGTCATCATTTCCATCTACTTTTTTCAATAAAAAGTTGTGAAATGACAAATACGTCCTCATATTTAAATAAAATAAAATAAATGAAAAAAGTAAAGAACTAATTGCTATCATAATCTCAAATTTTTCAAAAAATTATAAATAAATCCCAAATAAATAATTAAAAATTAAAACTACAAAAATAAAAATCACTACATCTACTTCCCCTACCCCCAGCCATATGTGATTTGCATCCCACTTCACCTATAATTTGAAGATTTTTTAAATTCCCAATGCTTAGAGAAAAAGATTCCAAATAGATTCCAACTTCAATAATGCTGGGCGTACTGAAAGGGGTTGACAGATGGATTACAGCAAATTTGAAAAATTCTGAGGTGGAAGTTAAAATCAAAATAGAAGAATTGATATTAAAAACGTTAAAATGGCGGAGACCTACAAAAGTAGCAAAGCAGGAAAACCTTCTTCATTTTCCCCAAATTTCCCATTTCATTTCCTTCTTTAGCAAAGCGGGAATTACATCCATTTTCTCACTCGTCTTCTCTGTCGACGGCAAGAAAATCAGGCCTGCACCTCCGGTCGAAAACCTTCCTCATTTTCCTACTCTATTCCCTTGTTCGGTATTTCTTCCACATCTTCTCTGTCGATGAAAGAAAATCGGGGCTGCATCTGAGGACTATTACACCCCGATCTAACTCCATTAACGAAAATTATGATAAACCATGGATTTTGAGGCTTTGCGTGTACCCCGTGCAAGCAAGTTTTCACTAACTAGTGTCCGAGTGTATGATAAACCACGAATTTTGAGACTTTTTCCCATGGTATGTTAGACGTGCTAGTTTATTCATTGTTTTTTTTTTTTTTATGCCATTTGGAAAAGTAGGAATTGAAGGTTCTGTTTTTTTGGAAGTAAGAATTGAAGTTTCTATTTTTTTGCTCTTACATTCTCCTTGTTGAACTCAGTACAAGTTCTCTCTAACAAATCTAACTCAAAACTCAAGTCCAGCTCTGCCAAGAGCAATAGCGAAGCGTTTTACTGAAGCTCTATTTTTCTTCTTCGAATGCCACTTGTACCAAAGTGAGGGTTTGGTCTGTATGTATACTGTTTGGTCATTTGGAAAATTAGAATTCAAAGCTCTATTTGTGTACAGAATTGCATTTTTAAGATCCTCTTTGTTAAGGACGAAGACAATCAATGATTTCTTTCTTGAGCCAAATTATATATATTCCATCTTCTCTATCTTGATGATTTGAAACTTTCAAATTGTTTGATTGCTTGAAAGGTTTAAATCTTTATTAGTACCTTTTATTGGAATCTAGGTGGAATGTAACATTTACTACATTGAGTGCTTTTTTGTTTGATATATGTATATGGATTGTGAAACTGAAATTACATTTTATCGTGTAATTGGTGTATGTGATGACTTACATTACGTCTTATTTTCTTGCAGCATAGGAAATTATAGAACACTTGATTGATGAATTTGTTTCGGTATTCGATAATGACAATGTTGCAGAGAATGCCATCAACCTAGAAGAAGAAACATTGGGACACAATGGGCCGATCATGCCTGAGGTAGGTATAATGTTCAACAATAAGAAACAATTATTTACTTCTACAAGAGATATGCTTACGATGTTGGTTTTCCAGTCCCAAAAAAAAACTCGAAGAAGGGGGCGATGGATTGTTGAAATATGTGACCTTGCCATATAGTCGTGAAGGCCAAAGAACGAGTAATGCAAGTGGCTCTTTAAATCCACAACCAATCAGCCAGATAGATTATAAAAGCAAGGATCTCTGCTTCTTCAGATGGTCCTGGAATGTGAAGAATTAACATAGTCTACCTTGACCATAACCATAGAACTAGCCCTTCCAAGTCTAGGTAGTATCGATGCAATAGAGAATTGAGTACAAATGTGAAATGAAAACTTGAAGTGAATGACTTGGCACGAATTTCGTTGTACAAAACATTCAACTCTGCAGTTGTTGAAGCATGGGAATATGAGAACATGACATGTGTGGAAAGGAATTATCGTAATTATATTGAGCAAGTGAGGCGATTACTACTAAGAGAGGGAGATGCGACCGTAATAGAGTGTTATTTTTCAAATATACAAGCAAGATGCTCAAGTTTTTACTTCAATATGGATGTAGACGACGAGTCTCACTTGAATAACGTCTTTTGGTCTGATAATAGGTGTAGGCACGCATATAAGGAGTTTGGCAATGTAGTCACATTTGACACCATTTATCTCGCTAATAAGTATGACATGCCGTTTGCACCTTTCGTTAGCGTAAATCATCACGGTTAATCAATATTGTTCGGTTGTGAGTTGTTATCAAATGAGGACACATATATCTTTGTCTAGCTATTTAGGACATGGCTTTAGTGCATACATGGTAGAGTCTCTCATGGAATAATTACTATTCTAGATAGGACCATGCAAAATGATATTGAAATTGTTTTCCTAGATACCAAGCATAGGTAGTGTCTGCAGCACATTTTGAAGAAATTGTCGAAGAAGTTCGAATATCATGTGAATAAGGTTTCCATATTTTCGATTATACATCACTTGGTGTATGATTCACAGAATATTGAAGAATTTGAAGCATGTTGGAAAGAGATGATCGAGACATATGACTTAATGGATAATGAATGGTTGTCGAGGTTGTATCTTAATAAAGGTCATTGGGTTTCGTGCTTTTTGAAAACCTCTTTTTGGATAGAGATGTTCACAACTCAACGCAGTGAGAGTCTGAATACGTTCTTCAACGGTTATGTCAATTCGAAGACATCCTTGAAGCAATTTGTAGAACTATATGAACGAGCGCTCAAGAATAAGGTTGAAAAAGAGTTCCCGGCTGATTTCAGGTCATACTCACAAACTGTATCTGTGTAATGAATTATGAACTCGAAAAGCATTTTGAGACAGTCTATACCATTTCCAAGTTCAGGGAAGTCCAGGATGAATTCAAAGGTAAGGATGTCATATCTGCTTCAGAAGGACCTTTTGGGACCATGTATGAGGTGCGTGAGGATGTCTTTTATGGTGAGCACAAGAAGAAGAATATGTTTTTTGTTCTTATTTCAGAGAGAGACATCTGACTTTATATGTAGCTGTCACTTGTTTGAGTTTTGAGATGTTTTTAGACATGCAGTTGTGGTATTGATTCGTAATGACGTAATGCAATTACCTGAGCGTTATACACTACGAAGGTGGATGAGGGATGTCAACAGGGCATACACGAGGGTTGCAGCGAATTATGATGGTTTGTTCAGTACCTCTAGACAGTTAAGGTACTATAGTGTGTGTAAAGCTTTTATGGAAGTAGCTAACATTGCTGCAGATGACGAGTGTCGGACATGTACGATATTGGACTGGATAAAATTGCAAGCATCGGAGTTGATGTCAACAAAGTCGTATGGTGCAAGCAATATTATTTCGTGCAGACTATACAGTTATCCTCTCAGTCTACGCCTTCCAAACTACTACAAACGATATCATATAGGACCTCAATGTTGCAAAGAAAAAGGGGGCAGCTCGAAGACTTTGGAGAAAGTCTGTTGGAGTTGACATCAAAGAAATCAGGGGTTTGTTCATCGTTTCAGGTCTTTATTCTTCAAAAGTTGTGAATTTGTATAGCAATTTAATTTTCTTGTACATGCAGGCATGTTCAACGCCAAGCAAAAGAAAGAGACCGAGACCGAGACCGAGACCGAGACCGAGACCGAGGCAGGGTAATAATGAAGAGGCTGCACCTAAATTTGTAACTTCGCAAGAACAATACTTATCGCAGACACCATTCTCATATTCACAACTATTGTTGGTGAGTACCTTCATATTGTTAAACTATTTGTTTTAGGTATTACTTAAGGTCTTTTTTACGTAGGGCGGTGTTGAAATGCATGAATGTACATGACCCTTGCCAACATTGGATGTGATCCCACCATTGCCAACTAGTGTTATATTCAGTCTACAAGGTAAGGACGAGGATAATTCATTACATTTGTATACAAGTTCTTATAAAAAGGTGTACTAACTTCTATATTCTTTACCAGGTCATCAGTTTTCCTACTACTACACACATATGCCACCACAAGGTAGTCCAACCTTATGAATTCGTGAAAGGCTTGGTAGTTCTTTTTTATAACTTTGAACACTAATTGAGAAGATTCTGTAGCTTACAATATTTTCCATGGTAGGACTAGTTCTATTTATGTGTTAGCCATTCATTTTGTCCCCACTTCGTTGAAAGTTGGCCTGTGAATTGATTACTGTCGAGAGAAATGAACTCCAACTGCCTCTAAAATATTGGATTCCTTCAAGCCGTACCCTAACATTGGCCAATTCTTCGAGCAACAAGGTAACCTCCCAGTAAAACCGTTGTTATGCATTGTGATTAAGAAGAAGGCCATTGCACAATCTATATGGTAGTTTACCTGTGAAGTTATTATATTGAAAAACTAACATTATCCAATTTGGGACTTTTCAGTTTTTCTTTGAGTTCATGTAGAACATCGTATGCTTTAGGTTTGAATCTTCTTGTTGATTATTGCATAGAGGAGTTATATAAAATCTCTTCGTATGAGCTCCATTCCTCGTTATCCAAGTTGTAAACCAGGTTCACGTATTATAGCATTTTTCCAGTTTTCAATTCTGACATACAATAAACATTACAGTTGTTGTTCTTCATGAATATGGCAACTTATATTAGATTTAAGTGCTCTGAATTTACATGATTTTCTTTCTATTAGTCTAGTATTCTTCAATTACCATTACTAAACATACTATGAAAGTTTAGAATTGGAATTTGAAAGAATCTTTGCCTTGGCATGTATATGCATATGGTGCCCTGATCTTTGTGCCTTATGTTTCTAGGAGTCCTTGAAAAAAGGAAGAGGCATTTTTAGATGTGTTTGTCCTTGCAAAATGAGCTTTTCTTGACATCATTTGCGGAATGTTTATTCCCTGTCTTACCAGATCCTTATTCTCGACTTCACGAGATGCTTTTTCCTCTCATCTCACTATTGTCGAGCCTAGTTATGAGACCTTGTCTATCCAATGTTAGCTTATAAGACTCCAATAATTCAAGAACTATTCGAAGGATGTATATTCTATGCCTCGCCAAGTGCTTATTCTTGAGTTTTTTATATGCTTATCCCTTGCTCGTCACAATCATCGAGCCAGCTATAAAACCTCGTCTATTCTAGGCAAGCTTCTAAAACTTCATTAGTTCGAGAGCTATTCGCGAGATGTTTATTCCCCACCTTGCTACATGACTATTCCTGGCTTCACGAGATGTTTATTTCTCGCATTTCACTATCGTCGAACCTAACTATAAGACCTTATATATTCGAGGCCAGCTTATAAGACTTTCAATAGTTTGAGAGCTATTTACAGGATATTTATTCCTAGCTTCGCGAGATGCTTATTCCCCACGTTTATCTTTTGTTGAGCCTAGTTATAAGACTTCATCTATCCAAAGTCAATTTATAAGACTTCAATAATTTGAGAGCTACTCGTAAGATGTTTATTCACGGGCTCGCCATATACTTATTCTTGGCTTTGCGAGATTATTATCCCTTATCCCTCACTATCGTTGAGCAAGTTATAAGACCTCGTCATTCAAGTTATAAGATCCGATAGTTCAGGGGCTATTCGCGAGATGTTTGTTCTCTGCATTGTCAAATGTTTATCCCTAGCTTTGAGATATTTTCATTCCTCACCTTTCACTACTGTCAAGCCTAACTATAAGATTTTGTCCATTCAAAGACTCTTTACAAGTCTTCAATAGTCCAAGGCGAGCCACCAGCTTGATAGTTATTCTCACTTAAAGATGTCTCGCGTATGCTAGATGATTGTACTTTTGCTTCCAATTTGGAATTTTCTCTATCATATAGCATAGCAATAAGAACTCATCCTTAAGTCCACAATAGCTCGAGATGAGCTGTTTGCTCGATATTCATTTCTCTCTTTGTGAAATGCCTCACTATATGAGTTGTTGCATTGCAGATGTATTTATATTCAAGAGAGCTCATCATGTCTCTATATCAGCTTATTAAAGGCTATTTATATACTTAGAGCCACGAATCTACATTAGCAATAACACAGATGTATCTATCTTCAGAAAGCTCATCATGCCTCTACATCGACTACATTACAGCTACCTATCTTCTTGAGCTTTGCTTTTGCTTCAATTATGTTACATCTACTTATCTTTATAAAAGCTTATATTATTTATCGTTTCTTAAGGAAAGGGGTTGGCCAACCTTAATATCTATGAAGGCAAAGCCTTTCATAGCTGGATCAAATACCATGGAGGAAGAAAAGAAGTCCTTAACATGGATGCACCACCCCCATGTAAGGACATCAGTTTATCGTAGCTACTTATGTCCAAAGCATTGACTCTACTATTTATGTCCAGAGTATACAACTTATATCTAGAGCATTACCTTTTCTACTTATGTTCAGAGCATCCCATCTGCTATTTATACATCAAGAGCATCGCTCATATCTAGAGCATCTTCTCTGCTACTTATACATGCAAAGCATCGATTCTACAACTTATGTCCAGAGCATCACCTCTGCTTCTCACATTCAGAGCATTACCATTACTACTTATATTCATAGTATCGGCTCTGCATTAGCTTCATTACGATTTAGAGTTACACCTCTATCCAAAAATCCATGCTTTATATGAATGTCCATACTTAAACTTAGGGATTATCTTAGTATCATTATATGTTACTACTAGCATATGCATTATATTATTGCTTCCAAGTATATATGCCATATCACTTGCTAGCATGCTATGATATTATTTTCATTTCAACCAGTATCTATGCCACGTTATCTACATTTTTCATTTCATTATTAACAGCATATCACGTGCTATGATACATGATAAGCTCTCTGTATATTCTATTTAAGAAAAGTTTCATTTAACATAATTCACGCTATCGTTGTTAGTAATTTGAGGGGTAAATGGATCCCAGTTTATTATGTATATACAGTGGATATATTATATTGTATTACAAGTTGGTTTAATCTATATTACAGAAAAGATGTTGTCGTAATTTTGATAAATTATGTGATATCTATCTTTCGAGGCAATCTGTACGCCCTCACTTATTCAAACTCGCACAAATATTTTAAAGATAGTTCGTAAGTCTTCATATATCGAAGCGGTTTATATTCTCGAGGCAATTCATAAGTTCACACACATTTAGGATTGATGCATATTTTGAGGCAGTTCGTAAGCTCCGACTTATCGGAGCTGCTCATATTTTTTAGGCAATATGTAAGAACTCATCTACTTAACTACTTATATTTTGAAGTTCAACTCGCATATGAATGTACTACTCAGACTTAGGGGACTGTTGTTACACCTATAAATTATGTGGCATGTAGATGGTGGTGGTGGTCCTATATATGCCAAACATGGCTCAACTATTCAATTGATTGGGTTATTTTACAAAACAACTTCATATTGGGCTTGAGCTCGATCCATTAACCACTTGATCCATTATTATTTCCCCATATATATGTGAATTCACTTTGCAAAAGATATGTTATTCCAATTTTGGCCAAACTACTTTTCCCGTCTCTTGCACTCATATTATCTTCCGTCCGGTCATTGACTTGACGGTCGGAGTACAAACGATCATCAGACATTTTTCTCGATCAGCGACATTTTCCTTCTAATGGGATATTCAGTATGCAAGTGATACCTATGTGGAGGAGACGTGATGAGAATTCTGCTGGCCCTTTTTTTTTTTTTTTTCAACATAAACAATCTTATGTAAGCTTTTATTCCAATCTTAGTTTTGACACTAATGTTACCATGGTAATTTTGGACAATATTGAACCTTTTAACCATCAAATTGACGATTTTCCATATATGCATTCATAATTTTCGAAACGTATTGTCACACTCTATAAAGGTTGGGGACCCCGCTTGAATTTATCCAAAGAGAGAGAGAGATCTAAAACATGATTGCATGCAGAACCCTTGTTCCACGAGCTTAGGAGGGACCCATAAAAAAAATCATCATGCATGCCTCCTCCCCACGCCACCCCCACGGCCCCTCCGCAACCCCCACACACGCACCTACCAGTATGGAGGTCACTTTCTTCCTTAAGTTCCACCCGATGCATTAGGGACCCATAAAAAATCATCATGTATGCCTCCTCCCCTACCCACCCCAACCACCACACACGCACCCATCATTATAGAGGTCACTTTCTTCCTTAAGTTCCACCTGATGCGTTACTATCATACTGGGAAGATATTATTGATATTGATACACTCACTGGGGTATCCTGTGTTTCAATTAAAGTAACTGTAAAAACAAACATTTGTACTTTGGAGAAAGTAAACTAAGCAGAAAGTGAAATGTGAATGAGCCAAATGGGTGGGCTCCTTACTTCTTTTCCTGCTGTTCAATTCATTACCCCCAAAGCGCTCTCTTTCTCTCTGATACAGTGCTTAATTAGACTTCCATAGTGTTATTGATATTCCTCTAGTATTGGCAACCAAAATGGTTTGGAAAAATCAAATTAAATGAATTTTCTTGTGTTCAAATTTTCCAAGTTGGACGGTTCGACCAGATTTTGAGGTCAACAGTTGTAACAGTCGTCATTTTTAATAATAAAAAAATTCAGTTCATGTGGAGAATGCAAGAGAGTTTCAGTTTCAACCAGGCACCATCAAAATCCAAAGTGAAAGGAGCAAAAGGAGAGATTATAGAAGTTCATGGAGGCCGGGTTGTTCGATCCACCGGAGGAAAAGATAGGCACAGCAAAGTTTGCACTGCATCGGGCCTGAGGGACCGCCGGGTTAGACTATCACCAAATACTGCAATTCAATTCTACGATGTGCAAGACAGGCTTGGCTATGACCGTCCCAGTAAAGCCATTGATTGGCTCATGAAGGAAGCTAAAGCCGCCATTGATGCACTTGATGAAACGCCATTGATGAGATCAACGGTCCAAGAAGATCAGTCCCCAAATCTGAAGATCCATCAAGAAAGTAATTATTTGAACAAAGAAGACGACCCCATTTGCAGTTTGAGTTTCTTTTCAATGAAAAATCATGCTACACAATCACCTTCTACTGAGTTTCAGGCCTACACTAATGACGAGTTTAACTCGAATCTTTACCCTAGTTATCAACAAGGATTCGTTCCTTCCATAAATCCTTCACGTTTGGATACAAATATGGAAATTTCTAAACTCCAAAGAATTTTCGCTTGGAATCATGCCAGTGCAAATTCTAGCAATTCAAGAGTAGGCGTAGCAGAATCTTTTATAAACTCACTGCAAGATTTAGGCCAAAATCAGATCTTTTCTGAGAGGGAACCCCTTCAGTCCAGTATAAATTCCCCTCCAGTTTACAGTCCATTGAGAACCCCAATCACTGCCGTTGGATTTGCTCAAGATTTATCAAAAATATCTACACCATTTCAAGAACCAGAGGATAAGATCCCAGTTTCCAGCAAGCAATCTGCTACAAGTACTACTACTTTTCTGCATAATGAATCCTAGCACCATTATGGAAGTCTTCTTCTTGCATGGTACGTAATTAATTATTTGTTTTAAAAATAATTCATTTTCTTTAATTCCCTCATATAGCTAGTTTTTACTTTGGATTTTCAGGAGGGACTTCAAGAATTACATTAAAATTGCAGCAGTTTCTTTTCAGATTACAAGAAAGCAATTAGATTTTTCAAACCGTAGAATATATAATTGCTTTGCTTTGATCTAATTGTCTGTTAATCTGTGATGTCTGTCATTAATTCCATCAAGTTTTATGTTATATTAATTGCAAGCTTGTTACATTCTGTCCTTTTGCTTTATATAATTGCATGCTGTAATTAAGAAAAGCATGCAAAAAGTATCATCTTTATATGCTAAAAGATGATACTTTACCCATTTTCAGGGGGTAAAAAATTATTCTCAGTCACATTTATCTCCTATAAGGTACATTTCATAGTTGTCAGTCTAATCAATAAATGGCAAATGAATATAAAGCAGAAGAAACTATACTATTATATATATTTAGCCCATGTTTGTTAATCATTATTCCATAACTCTTTTTTTTTTTTTTTTTAAATTCATTTTCAACAAAAAAAATTTTACAATAAAATATTTTGCACAAAAATTTAATATATATATTTTTTACTTTTTAACTATACATTTTTTCAAAAATTTAATATTCAAAAATTTATTTTCTTTTAATAATGGAAGACAAACAGGGGCTCAGTCCTATTTGAAGTTGAACCCCATTATTTATGAATATATTTTCTAAAAAATAATTATTTGAAAAATAAGTAATTAAAAAGTAAGAAAAATTTTGAGTTTACATAAAAAATTATTTTATTGAAAATGAATTTAGTGCTTGTTTGGTATAGATTTTAAACCAATTAAAATTAATTTTTTTTATCATTATTTCACTATTTCAGTCCTTTTTTTTTTTCTTTGAATTCTTCTCCAAGTAAAACTCACTTTATTTTTAACGATCAAAAAATCAATTATCAAAATCACAGGCATATAATTTGTAACTTTTTTGCTTGAGTAAAAACATAATAAGTGTTGACTTGTCCCGTCACGTCTCTACATTTTAGCTTGACACAATCCGAATCTAAGATCCCATGTGAGAAGTCGGTAAGACCTCTGTGAAAAAAGCTCTGTACACAGAGCTTTATACATTGAATCCCATGTGAAGAATGGAAGAGGGCAAATTTATTATAGCAATTTGTAAAAGCAATTCAAGCACTGGGTCCATTTAAGCCAATGCCACAACTAATTAGCCAACTGTCTGTATTTGCCTTTTAAGCTTTTAGCATATTATTAACTAGAAAATTTTATTTACATTCCATAAGTCAATCACAATGGCAAAGTACAATACCCCACATTAACTTCTAATTTTGTCCAAAATGAATTCTTGAGTTTTACAAAGTATTTTCCCTCCCTCAGAATTAGCATATATAGTATGCAATAAAGCAGTTTTATAATAAGGCTCCAGTTTTAGCCAACCTCTTTCTTTAAAACTCGGTTTCTCCCGGCTTATAAACCAAAAATTTTCCTACTTTTTAACAATAAATTCTCAAAAAATAATCTCTTTTTACAAAATTTATTCTAAAAAAAAAAAAAAAAGGGTTCAAATAGGGACTGACGAAAAATCACGTGGATGGAGAACTCTGTAAAAAGAAACACTACTTTAAAGGGAAAGGTCCAAGAGGTGGTTTAACAAAACTTTTGATAAAAGTTTATGAAATGAGTGAAAGAAAAATTATAATTGAACTTTGACATCGACTTTTTAAGCAATCCTAAACAAGCAATAAATGTTCACGAATTATTTCATTTGATTCGATGTCAAATGACAGGAGTAAATTCAGAAGTTTACCTCATAATATTAAATGTGACTAGGCGAAGTAACATGATCCTGGTGAATCAATTAAATTTTTCTGTATAGAGGACTATAATGTTAATGGTAACACAATTGAATTCAGCAAAATCAGACTTCATATTTTTCTGAATTAATGTCATTTATATTAGTATTTACACTCTATACGGTCTCTGTTACTACCCAAAATTAATTTTTCGATCTATCTTTTCTGGGATGTTTTGTCGCATAAAATCAGTATATTGATATGGCCCACATTAATTTTTATACCTAACAGACGGCCCCCCATTTGAGATGCTGACTGGTAGCCAATGGAGTACTGAACTAGCTGTTGCTAAGAATCTCTATAAAAATTTATATTGAACTTATTTCAATTTCAAGAGCTCGGATCGTATCGATATACCAGTTAATATGCCTTTCGTAGCCTTAACTCAAAGGATTAACTTGTATTTTAGTCTAGGCCTTGGCCTAGTCTCAAGGTAAACCTCACTCGAGCCTTGCTCAAAGATATTTCATATATTCTATTGTTTAGTCCACCGAAGAAGACGTAACACATAAAAGCTGATTATGTAATTGCATATATGAATTTGAAAGAAGAATAAATATCAGTCGATAGTATTAAGAAATAAAAAGAATTTCAAATCTTGTATCCGATTTTGTCCAATACAAAATAGGCATTTGAATTTCGAAATATTTAATTGTATAAAGATGGATTATATATATATATATATATATCATTGCTAGCTCAAAGAAACAGAGGGCAGAAAAACTCTTAAATAGGTGCTTGTAGAGCACATCAACCTTCACAAGAACACAAATAATTGATTTCTATTTACACAATAATCTGCTGATAACTTATTTTTTTGACAAATATATGTTATAAAAAGTAAAAGAAGAAACATCCATGTCAATCCGGAATTCATGATTTTCCTTTGATTTTTTTTGTCAATGACAAATGCGCAGTTGCATCACCCCATTGGAGTAAACAAGCAAGAACTCGTGATAAAATCAACCTCTTCTCTGCTACATAACCAAATTGCATTCGACAATCTCCTTGAGCGTGGATCATCTATAGTAAATATCTATTAAGATATTTCCCTTTCCCTCTTAGTTTTCACCACTTTGGATTTGCTGCTCACTTTTTTAGCATCTATCATCTTCTCAGCTGCTCCATAGGACAATTTTCTGGCTTTTGTCCCATTAGGAGAAATTGATATTACTGAAACTGGTGCTACAATTGTTGGTGAATTCTTGTTTCTGTTAGTCCTGCTCGACTGGTGACCAAGAGATTTCTTTGGACTTGAATGCAATGGGACAACTCGGTTTTCCCAAGGTCGAGCAGCAATCCATCGGTCAATCCAGCTTCAGCCCCAATTTGCTTTGCCAATGTCATGGTTACCAGATCCAAAGTTCGGGTTGGAGTTGGCTCTCCACTGCAAGACACGTTTTTTTATATTTATACTTGGTTTTATAGAGCAAAAGAATTAGGAAATATTTCAATGTTTTAAAACCCAGATAGGATTGCAACCTAAAATGTAGAGGGTCAAGGATCTAAGGATTCAACCTGGGTCAAACCAGTGGTAAAAAATAAATAATTAATTATCTGAGCATTATATATGTCAAGGTTGAATCGCTCCTCAGCAAAAAAATGCAACTGAGAAACCTGGACAGGCCATGGCAGTTCATCTGATTCTCAATTGATCGGGCAGTCTGAACAGGTTAGGATATTTTTAATAATGGTTCTTAGGCTATAACAGGACAAGTTGTCAGGCTGGTTTCTAGTGTTTCTGAGTGAAAGCAAGCCAAACCAATTTTCGAAACAATAGCAATATTATTTATAGTGACGTACTTGATGAGAAAATGCATATGCCATGGCTTGTTCACGCCGCAATGCTGCTTCTTCTCTCTGGTGTATCCTTGCAAGAGCTTCATCCATTGTTTTCCAATCCACCTGTCAGGAATTACATTAATGGAAGATAGGCATAATTTTTGAACAGCCCAAATCATTAAATTATGTCCTTTATTGTAAAGACATCATAAAGAATTCCAATAAAAGAAAGACTTGTTACAGTCAGATGATCAAATAAGGTCTGAATGCTAATTGCTATCCCAAGAACTACTTCGTTGTCAAATTAGTACAATTTGTCCAAGGAAATATTAATACTTGTATAGATAGAGGAAAACAGATACTAATTCTTAAAGAAGTCCTGTAAACATGTTACGATGAGGATAGAGGACAAATATGGTTTATCTATGTCTCCGTATGGGGTCTTGGTTTTAGTTCTTCGTAGCACACATAAGTTACAGGAATGATACAGAAAATTGGTCACTTACTTTCTCTTGTATAATTGTACTTCTTAATCTAGTAGAAAGTAGTGGTTAAGACTTCAGATAACGTGTCTGATAAACTTTCAAAAATTCACAGGTGGAACCTAGTTACATCTACATTAAATATTTTTTGTTTGTTTCTTTGTCCCTTTTCCTTCTTAAACATTAACTACAATAACAAGAATGCAACAAAACCTTCAACTAAGAAAGCATCCAGTCTCACCTCTAGGTCATGTAGCTCTGATTCAAGCTTTGATTGATTCTCTAGCTTCTTCTGCCTGAGACGACCTTCTGTTACCATATGTACTCGGCGAGCTCTAATCTGTGCCTGAATTTTGGTCGATGAGTGGAGATGGCCCAAAGTTGTTGATGCTTGCTTTTTAACAGCATCACATTGCAACAGGTTCTGTAACCTTACTGTTGCTTTTAGACGACCGAAATTTTTCCTTGCCTAAATCACAAGCGCAAGTACAGTTTGAATCAAGAGCTCGTATATATTTTGAATGAAACAAGAATATCCAAGGTAATACAAAGTAACAAAGATAAGTACGAATAAGTATCTTTCTCAGGAAAATTAACGTGTCAGTTTAACAAGCTGATAAGAAACATTATAGTGAAGAATGATGTGCTTCTAATAAGAGAAACATATACAAGATTAAAAGCAATAGCAAAAATATTCTTTCTTTTTCATCATAGGATGCACCATTAAAACACAGTTTCACAAATAATTCAACTGGAACTTGTTAATATGGAAGAATATAATTGTAGGATCCTGGAATATGTACTCGTCTAGAAAAGTCACACTTCGTATTTATGAACTGTCTATATGTCTGCATTTGTATGGCTAATCTCAATGGACGGAAGCAAGGAACAAATCATGTATATTCCATACCACGTATCCTCGATATGCAGTTTGAATTTGAGTTGCTGCAATCTCCTCAATGCGCATGCCAAAATCATCATGATTTTCCTCAGAAACATCATTTGTTAATATTGGAGACTCATTCTGCAAGCAGTTTTCCTCCTTGTACCCATTTGACAGTTCGGGTGTTGAATATATCTGCTTTAATAAATTAAAAGAAAAAAAAATTTAAGTTGCAAATGACATATATAGATTGTGATGTAACAATGTCTAAGAACAAAATATTGGCAGAAAAGAAAAGAAAAGAATAGCTTTCGAGGAAACTTCAAACACAGAGAAATGAATGAAGGCATCAATGGCATGGGGATCACTAGCAGAATGTGAGAGTATTTAAAAGAAGCAAACCTTCAATTTTTGCGATCTGTCACCTCTCTTCTTTTTACTCATTATATTCTTGAACCAAACTCCAGAGCCCATGATCGATGCTTAATATAGCTCACTGGAATACCCTGCAGAGGATATTGAATCTCTGTGTAAAAATGACATCAAGTATTGAATTATGTATTCGGTCAATGCTTAATTTGCAAGTATCCTGTGAAATTGTTGCTATCATCTATTTTGTGATTTCTAGACAAACAAGAAATCCCGGCTTGCAACTAAACCAGCAGCAGAGGACATATTGTGAGATATCCATGCACAAAGCAAATTCAAAATGCTCTAAGATTTTTCCTTAATAACCAGACAAGTTAATAAAAATGTTTCTGGTAACATAAGGCCTTACTAACTAAAATAAGTTAATAAAAAATGTTGGTACTTCTTCTCACATTAAGGAAATTGGCCGCATGACCTGTGATCAATTCTGGGCTGTTTTGCATCCTAAATTATCAACCAAAGCATTGCCTTTGTATAATTGTGAAGTCAAAATTCCGCAATTTAGAAACATGATTATCACAGAAAGACACGCAATACACAAGATTCAACCAATTAATACAGAACAAAAGACTGGTTTTAGTTCAAGCATCTTTGCTGTGCTTATAAATTACTTTTCTAGAAGGTAAGAAAGATAAGTTTTTTTAAGAAAAGTTTTTTAAGTAAAATTTGACTCTGAAAACATACGAAGTAGAGTTTGATAATGTCTTCAATACAATGAGAAAATTAACAGATCTTTCAATCCCAATTCAACAGACCAAATTAAACACCCCAATACAGTAAACGCATCAAGAAACAATCCTAAGATCACATCAAGAATCAATCCTTAAAACCCATCAAGATTGACATCCAAAATCCATTTCTTCAACAATTAATGAAACAGAATTATAAGAAGAAATCACGTACCAGAGAAAGAAACTCCAAATTAAAGACACGTCCTTTGCTGGCAAAAGGGTATCTCCAGATGTCAAGAAAATACAAGCAAAAGTGCAAATGATAGTGCAGTAGTAGTGTAGTGTGTAGATGAGTGAAAGCTAAGAAATGCAAATGTTGTAGAAAAAGAAAAAGAAGT